TTCTATTAACCTTTTAGATCTCATTTGTGGGTAAATCATCATAAGTGTCTTGGGGCTGATGGCTGCAGAGTGCCAGGAGTGCCTGGGCTGGGCCAGCACTGAGTTCTTATGTCTGAATTATCTCACTTGGAATCAAGGCAGGTCCTGAAAAAGGCTCTTTTGAGCTGTGCAAAATTGAAATTTAAGGCTATGCCCTGTCCAGCGGTGTGGTGGCAGGAAATGAATGATGGAATTTTTATTTTAGAAGGCAAATTCTGCTCAGTTATGACTTTATTGTGATGGATTAGCCAGGTTTTTATTCCAATTTCTATTACATGTGAGGAGTAGCTGGGTTATACACATACACTACACACATGCTGTAGTTTTTAGGTTGCCTACAGTTTTTATTTTAACATAATTGTCATTATTCAGAGGATTTTTGTGATTATCATAATGCAAATCACTCATGTTCTTATCACACCATTAATTACAGCACTTGTATTCTTTTATTCTTTGGATTTTCAGGGGGGAAAAAAGACCCATTTGTGCAAAAATAAATAAATCCTTTGTTGCAGAGTAAATCTCTTAAACTGATTTCCTCCAGAAGTGGTAAAATACGTGTGACTAATTAAAATTAAGTGGTTTTCATCTACTTTAAATCTCCACCATTCAGATTTATTTAGAAATTCTTTTATGAATAAACCATGGAAGTGTATAACCAGTCAAATATGTTGATATCTCTCAGTCTGAAGCACTGCCAGCTGCAGATTACATGGTGTAAGACTTAAGGCAGTAAAGAAATCAAGGCAAATCCTTTCCTAGGGATTGAGATTGTAGGGATAAGGATAAATAACTCTTCATGTTATAGATTTGGAATTCTGTATTTACAAAAAATAAATTAAAGTACAACATGATGTAATTCCAGTGTCTAACTCTTCCATGAAACAAAAGTAACTGAAAGAGTGGAGATTAAGCTTTGTGAAATATCTGAGTATGCAAGACATGAATGAATTTATTGGAGGTGGATAAGTGAGTGGTAAAATATTGGTGAAATTGGGTGCTGAGATGGCAATTCGTGGTTTATCACTTTTTAATGCTCTTTACTGTCATGAGTTTGCATCAAATCTTGTGGACTAAACCTGGGAGTTTTTCAGTGACAGCCCTGTGCAGGATTAAACAGAGGAGCTGTGGTTAGGAACCTGTTCCCAGAGTCACAGATTTCACTGAAAAATCCCTTTTTTGTGTGTGAAATGATTTCCCCATCCCATCCAGAGTATTGCATGGAATTACCACGCATGCACTTCCCGTCTTCATTAACTGAAGTCTCACTTGCTTTTGGAGCTGGTGGCCTTTAGAAATTTGGTTGTTGTTGGTTTTCTCAGCTTTTACAGAGATGGGGTAACTGAGAGGTGTTTTAAAAGATTTTATTCCATTATCAGTCTTGATGAATAATGAGAGACAAGAGATGTAAAACTCAATGCTGTTTTATCAGAAGCTCACTTATTTCTTGGTCGCAATACCTTATCAATGTTTTTTAGCCTATTAACTTTTCTACACAATGTTATTACTTCTAACACCAATCACCTGTGTTTTTATCCCATGTTGTCCTAGTACAATGCATCTTTCACAGTTCTAATTTTCTAAAATACCTGGTTTTTTGCAAGGCCATTATTTTGAAACATGTTGAAACTTGTTTTTCTAGTTCAGTCTCTCAACAAGTTGTGATAGAATTGGAGGCAGTCAGGGTGTCTTGGGATGGTTTGGGTTGGAAGGGACCTTAAATCCCATCCAGTGCCAAAATGTGATTTTGTGTGCTGTGATCCCGGATTTGATGCTCTCAGCTCTGCAGGGCTGTGTTCAGGTTTCTGAGAGCCAAGCTGTGCTGCTGATGGCAGGAAATGTCATTTTCTGCCTTCCTCCTCCTCCTCCTGCCCTTCCAGGTGCGTTTCCTGTAGCTCAGGGTTCAAACCTGCCCCCCCCTCAGCTTGTGATGGGAAATAAAAGCAGTTTGTGGTTCAGGCTGGTTTGGCTGCTCTGAGAGTGTGCAACTGCTTAAAGAAATAGGAAAAATAAAAAAATTCCTTCTTCCCCCCAAAATCCCACAGAGCTGGAAAACAGAACAGAACTACCCCACTCTGTTTTTCAAACCTCCATAACTGTCTTTGGATCTAAAAAGAATTTATATTTGCGTGTTAACACCCTTTCCAAAGTCTGATATCATATTTATTCCCAAACTCAAGTGTTCTGCAGAGATTTCATGTGAAAATTTTTCTCATTTCAAACAATTTTTCCTGGCTGAGCCTTTCTGGGAAGGGCTCAGGTTCTGTTTGAGAGCTGCTGTTGAGTGCTCTGGACTGTTCTTGTAAGGAACCACTCTGGGAAAGTTTCTCTCAGGCAAAAAGAGCCTGAAAATATTTACTTTAATACTTGACGGTTAGAATTTTAGCAATCTGTAGGTGGAATTCCCATGTGAAAAACTTGAAGCCCTTCAAAACTGAAAAAGAGGTGTCTTGTATTCACTTAGTTTGGAGTACAAAATAGTATTCATATGATTGTTATTTAAAAAAAAAAAAACATATTTCTGCCTGTGGATTCAGTGAATGGAGCCTCATCAGGCTGCTTAGTCAAGAATTAAGGAATTGCTCACAGATTTTCCCAGTGAGGATTAACATCTGACATTGCCCTGTCACTGCTGCAGCCACAATGGGAGCCTTTATGTCCCCTCACATTTCATTTCTTCCTACAGACACAGCTTTGTTTGGCAGGGCAGCCTGGCTGGATCTGTGTGCACTGAAAAATGTGAATTTCTGACAGGTGTAAAATGTCTGGGAATACAGCAAAGGTTAAGGAAAGAGCCTGGTGTGGTTAACTTTCAGTTCATGAAAAATAAATATTCATCTTTCACCCTGCATTGATGGGTGTAGACTCCCAAATTCATCTAAATTTTCATGAAATATTGAATTTTCTGTGTGACTTGTGCATTTTACAGCCACTCAGAAATTTAGTTTTCCTCATATTTTCAAGGATTAATTTCCTTGAAAATAATTTGAAATTTCCTAGCCCTGCGGGGAGATTATTTCGAGGTGATTTTCCTTTTGTTTTTAGTGACTTGTTGATTCGGTGGTCTGAGGGATGAAAACTTGAGAGGATTTTTGAGGTTCTGGGTGAATTTGGGAGGTGTTTTCCGTTCTCTGTCAGGTTCTCAGCTGGTGTGGGAGTGACTTTGGGCGCAGCCTGTGCTGTGTCTGTGGTGGAGGCAGCACAGAACCAGGAGGGTTTGGGACCTGAGTGGCGCTCACAGAGCTTTGGGACCGGACCAAAATCACAGCCCGTGGCTGGGTCACCTCACCCAGCTGTGCTGGCAGATCAGAGAAATCCCCCCTGTGCTCAGTCACTCTGAAATCTGTTGTTCCGTGTTTAATTACACCTGAAATTCATTTACTGTGTGTTTGCATCTATTGTTCCTTTTCCAATTTCTCTTTTCCAGCTTTTTTTCTACCCTGTTCCAGATCAGAGCAGATCTTCGAACAGTGAATCCTTTTTTTTTTTTTTTTTTTTTTCCCCTTTATCTCATTTTTTTTCTAAGCCTTTTTTTGTGGTTGAGTTCTTATTTGCTTTGTGGAGCTAAAACTTTGTGGTCAGTGTAGCACACACAGGATGTTTGGTTTTGGCTGAGTCAGTCTATACAAACATATATATATGTGTATATATATATGTGTGTGTATATATATGTATATATATTATATGTATAAATGTATACATGTATATATTAATATATATGTGTGTATGTATATATAAAATATTTATGTATATGTTCATTTATAAAATATCTATTTACATATATATGTATTATATCTATACATATATACAGTGTAGCACACACAGGATGTTTGGTTTTGGCTGAGTCAGTCTATACAAACATATATATATGTGTATATATATGTGTATATATATATGAGTATATATATGTGTATATATATGTATATATATGTATATATATTATATGTATAAATGTATACGTGTGTATATATTAATATATATGTGTGTATGTATATATAAAATACGTATGTGTGTGTATGTATGTATAAAATATATGTGTATATTTTTATTTATAAAATATCTATTTACATATATATTATATATACATATATAAAATATCGATTTACATATATATATTATATATACATATATACAGTGTAGCACACACAGGATGTTTGGTTTTGGCTGAGTCAGTCTATACAAACATATATATGTGTGTGTATATATATGTGTGTATGTATATATAAAATATATATGTGTGTGTATGTACATACAAAATATATATGTATATTTTTATTTATAAAATATCTATTTACATATATGTGTATATATGTGTATAAAATTATATAAAATGGTATTAAAATTTTATCTCAACATTATCTCGACATTATATCTCGATATATATATATATATCCCTGTCGATATATATTTTGCTCCCTGTAGTTAGTGTGGGCAATATTTAAGCTCAGTTTGATATAGAATAAACCCCAAGTTATATTTTTTAAGAGATTTTTCTTCTGCCACGTGCACAGCAAATGCTGAGCCCCCACTTTCCTCGTTTGGAGAACTGAAACTGAAACAACAACAGCAGTAGCCAAAACCAGCCCTCAGTAAAACACTGAATTTAATTTAAAAAAAAACAGCTTCCTTTTTTTTAATACCACCATTTATGCTAATTGATGTGTAATTTGGGTTGTTGGAAATGCCCTGGAAGTGTCCAAGGCCAGGCTGGGCAGGGCTTTGAGCAGCCTGGGGTAGTGGGAGGTGTCCCTGCCATGGCAGGGGTGGCAATGGATGCATTTTAAGGTCTCTTCCAACCTAGAACATTCTGGAATTCTGTTTTTCTGTCCATCTCTCCCATCCTCACACCCAGCTGGGAAATCTCATTAGCTCAGGTTTGCAATTACACTCCATTTCCTGCTCTCAGTTTGTGATTTCCTGCTTTAAAAAACCCTCTTTTTTTGTATTTTTATTTTTTTTAGAGTCTGAAAAGATCCCTGTCATGCGTGGCCAGTGGTTTATTGATGGGACTTGGCAACCTCTGGAAGAGGAGGAAAGTAATTTAATAGAGCAGGAGCATCTCAACCGCTTCAAAGGCCAGCAGCTGCAGGAGAGCTTTGATATGGAAATATCCAAACCTGTTGATGGGAAGGAGGGTAAGATTGTTTAGATCACTATAATACATTTTTTTTTGGGCACTTGAGATGTGCTTTTCCTAAGTAACAATGTGATCTGCTTTGGTTTTTTATCCTGGAAATTGGGGAACATCCGTTTGTTCTCCCGTTTTCCAGTGTGGGATTTCCTGCTGCAGCACGTTTGGGGAATGCTGTAAAAATGAAAGTTATGGAGAAATATCTTGTTCCCATTGTGTTTCATATCTTCTAATTGTGTTTGAAATCTCATTTCAAACTGAAATCTCTTTATGGGACAAGAGGAGTCAATGTCCAAAGGCAAACTGGCTGATTGCTCTCTGCAATCCCTCATTCTCTCAGCATCCCTAATTCTGCCCTAAAGGGAGTGGGATCAGTTTTACAAATCACATTCCATTTTCCATTTTGATTCAGGCTGGATTTATCAGTTTTCAGCTGCAGTAAATCTTGGGCATGCATTCTGTTGGGAAGTCCTTACATTTTAATGGGCAGGCTGAGGATGCTCAGGTAGTGTTGCTGAGAATCTTGGTCTGCTGCATGGAAGATTTTCAAAATTACTGAAATTCCTGCTCTATTATTTAATGTACACAGTTGAATTGATTGCTCAGAGCAGGTGTTGCACAGCAAAAAAATCACAATTTTTGGCCTTCACACTTTTGGCTGTCTCTTCCTTGAGCAATCTACAAACCACAAGCTTCAAGTACAGAGAGCTTTCAAGATATTTCAGCAGGGATTTGGTTGTGTTATTCTCTACAAAGAAACTTTATTTTTTGAAGTGGAGCTTTGTCCAGAGCAGTCACACGGTGTGGGAATGGCTGTGTTTTGGCCATGACTTCTTATGTGTGGCCACACAAGTAAAGCCTTGTTCGTAAATTGGAAGCCCAGCAATAAATTCTGTAATCACTATAATGAAAACCAAAGTGTCATTTCTTGATTTAGGGAGTTTTTTCAGCATTACAGAGAGTTTCTAACTCTCCTTTAAAACTAGTGAGGGCTTTATTAATATTTTTTCCTCTATTTGTGCTACTTTAAAAGATTTTTTCACCTGTCCAAGGCTGCAGAAGAATTTTCTGCTAGAACAGCTCTGTCCAAAACGTGCATGAAGTGGTGTGAGCCCTGAGCCACAGCTCTGTGCCTTTGCAATCATCGTTCTGGAAGGCACTTTTTACCTGTATTTCTGATTTATTGTCCCAGAGGCACAAAGCTCAGGGTTGTTAGTGGCAGGGATTTATGGTTTTTTACATGGAAAGCAAATCTTTGGGGTTCCTGAGTGCTGCCAGCCTTTGGTAGTTTAATTTTTGAGGGAAGGCTGCAGTGGTACTTGGGTTCTCCTTATAGAGTAAATCAGAGAGGTCAGGGTTGGGATTTTTTTCAGATAAAGTCTGGACTATGAACAGAAATTTTTGGATTTGATGCTGGATGGACTGGGGAGTGTGATGAGAAAGATATGACCACTGGTATTTATGAAAATTGTAAAAGATCAGAAAAAGAAACTCCAAATTCAGGTGCCAGTGCCTTTTCTAAAACCCAAGTCAGAAAAGAAAAAAGGCAAAACCAAATAAACAAAAAGCAAACCCCCCAAAAAAACAAAAAAAAACCAAACAAAACCCCAAGCTATGTATGGCATCACTTCAGTGGTATATATGTCAAGTCACAAGCAGGTTCCAACAAGGTTTTTTGGTAATAATAGGAGAGTTGCAGGGCAATTACAGCTGACAATTGCAGTGTGTGAAAAGTGGTTTTGTCATTCTAATTTGCCTCTCAATACCTCTTGGATCCTCTGGCATCCAAAAATGCCATCTGCAGTGGCACTGGGAGAAGCTCTGCAACTGGTGAAATAAACAAAATTAGCTGAATTCAGTTTATAAATTTCTTAAATGCTCCATTTGGCTGTAATTGCATCCTGTATGAAGCAGTTTCTGGTGCCATCAAGGTACCTGTTGTTTATGATCAGTGAAAGCTGAGATAAATCTGGAAATATCCATTGGGAAGCAGTGACTGTTCCCAGTGCTGTGATAAAACCTTGTGAGGGATGAAAAACTGACCAGGCCCTCTGATTCCTCAGCAAAATTAATACAAGGTGCTGTAACAGCCCCTTTGTACCAGGAATTACTCCAGTAATTAAATTTATTAATTGTATTCAATTTATTAATTCTGATTCATTTATTAATCCTGGATTGCAGCATGTTAACAAGGAAATCACCAAGCTTCATCCAGGGTTTTTGGTGGTGATAAGAGGGAAAAATGTCCCATTATTAAACTGTTAATCCCAGCAAACCTTCCTCTGAAAGTGCAGAATTATTCAGGAGGAGAGTCTCCAACCTGCAGCTAACAAATAACATAATTCCCATGCTGATATTTTTGCTATTCTTTACAAAAAAGAGTTTTTTGTGGTTTTGGGAGCACAAGGAGCTTTAAATGCAGAAGGGATCAGAAAGCACAAGGGAGCAGCGAGCACAGATGACAGGGAGTGATTCCCCAGGCTCTGTTTTCCATGGGGCAGCCTGGAGATCACAACTGTGGTTTGCATTTTGATTTTCATCCTCACAAAGTATTTAATTTCATGCCTTGCAAAACGAGCTTGATTTATGGTGCCTGATACCAGTGGCTCCTTTTGGTGCCTGATCCCCTTCAGTGCATCAGGTAAATTATTGTTGCAATGGGCAGGGTGCAGAAATGGGGCATTTTATGATCAAAAGGAGCTTGGGCAGCAGATGAAGGGAAGGAATTGTCCCCACTGCTCTGCTGAGACCCCTCTGGAATTCTGTGTCCTGCTCTGGAGCCAGGCTGGGAGAGCTGGGGATGCTCAACAGGAAAGGAGAAGCTCCAGGATTGCTCAGAGTCATTTCCAGGACAGCTGGAGAGGGACACCTATGTGGCAGTAAATGATTTTAAAATTTACAGAATGACAGAAGATTTAGAAACTGCCTTTTCTTCATACTTAAACAGACAGTGAGTTCAGCACCTATCTGAAGTAGCCCATCAAAGGAAAAGCATTTTCCAGAGATTTCTGGCATATCCAGGCTGTTGTCAGATAAAACAAAACCAGTAAAGTTCCTATCATCCATTGCTTCATGGCCTTTTTCAGATATATTCATTTAGTGATGATGGAGTGAAGCTGAAAGCTTTATTTATGGGATAGGAAGGTATAGGAGTGTGATTTTTGTTGATGGAGTGACAAAACTATTTCTTGTCCCCTTAAAAAGGAAATAAGCCCAGAAGTTTCTCTCCTCAATGAGGTGAAAAGCCATCTCATAAGACCTGGGGGACTTCACCCCAAACTTAAGGATGGCTAAAGGGACAGGAGCCAAAAAGTCCCACCAGAGCAATTTACTGAAAAAACAAGAGAACAAAGAAACAAATCACTCTCGTGAGGTGTTTTACCAGGGGCCTCTTGCACCTAGATCCGTTTTTCTCTGTAAAGAGCTTTGTTATTTGGCCTTTTATTAAAACCTTTTTGTTCCCAACACTCCCACAGAAGCCATCCTGCTGATTTTATGCCTTAGCTCAGCTACCTTAGACAATCTTGGGTGTGAAATAGATTTCCAAAAGCTTGTGAGAGCTGGCTTGAGGAGACCCATATTTCAGGAAGGTGGGATAGGAACAGATCCAGCTCTTGGTATTTGCACAGAGATGCTCAAAATTCAGCTGGAAATCAGCCAAGCAACCTGATTCAAACCTGAAATTGGATCTGACTTTGAAGTTGATGCTGATCTGTGAAGAGGATTGGAGCAGATGAACCCCAGCAGTGCCTCTGCCAAAAAATAGTCTGTGATTCCATGATAGACATAGAGAAATAAAAAATCCTGCCAGTTAGAATTAATATTCCAATGCATTGATTTTGAGACAGCAGAACTCTGTTGGGTTTTTTCTTACAGAATTTCAGCGTGTGGTCAAGGCCACAAAACCTCTAAAAATTGCATTTGGAAGAGCTGATTTTTTTTTTTTTGGGTCTTAGCTTTCAAATAGTATTTTCTCACTGTATAAAAAATTCACACAGATTTTTGGCACAGCCAAGTTAACCTTTAGATGGGAAATCCCTGTTCATAGAATTGGAGAGTTGTGCAGGTCAGGAGGGATCTCTGGGGATGCTCCAACCCAACCTCCCTGCTCTGATGAGAGCAGCTTGCTCAGGATGTTTCCTGTGGGATTTTCAGTCTCTCCAGCAACAGACTCCACAACCTCTCTGAGCAGCCTGTTCAGTATTTTACCACCCTCACCATGAAAAGCAATTTTTCCTCTACTTTCCTTGACTTTCCTGTGTTGATTCTTCCTAAAGGGAAGTAAAAATCCAGTGCGATATTGCAAATTAAATTATTCTGTGGAATCCCCAGTGCTGTAGCTCTGAGAATTTATTTTGATTTTCTTCCCCCCTGGACAAGTGATGTGCAGCAATAAATACATTTCATTTACACCTGCCCTGAGAGCTGTGGGGACACCTGGGGCAGGTGACACAAGTGTGGGAAGTCACTCACTTTGCTGGATCAGGGAGTGCTGAAACCTTGCAGAACAGGGCAAGAACAGGAGATTTTGTCTAATGTAACTTTTAACCATCCTCTTACACTCTTTGGGGGGAAAAAACCTCAGAGTTGTGCTTAAAATGGAGTTTTTAGTGCACGTTTAGGAAGGGTCAGTGTGTTCTACCCTGTACCAAGGAGGGGATGATGCTTTAGGTGACCCTGGTGGCACCATGTCCCACTGCCTCTTACTGATGCTTTTACCTCTGCTGTGATGTCATAACTGCTTGTGAAGAGTGAAAATATTGAGTTTGGGACTTGCTACAAAATCTCTTTTTTTTTTTTTTGTTTGTTTTTTTTTTTAATATATACATTTTAGTTCTTTCTAGAAAATGTGACTTTTTCTTTCTTTTTGTTTTTTTTCTAAAAATGGTGATACTAATGAAAAAAAAAATGACACCCCTTTTAAAAATTTTACTTTGAAGCTCAGTGTTTTTACTTTTAGTTCTCTACTACCTCCCTCCCTTCTCCCTCCCTTCTTTGTTCAAA